TCAATTATCTAGACGTTTCCTTCACTTCGACCATCCGAAGACACAAGTTTTCCATAAACTAGCAATTCTCAAGCACCTGTAAAAGCGGCCCACAGAAGAGCAAAAGCTCACGATGATGCACTAGCATTCTGTCACAGATGTTCCCTGCCTTACGACCCAAGCTTCGTAGGCTCTGTCGTCATGCAGCTTGCTTTCTGCATTAGCTAGGAAAATCCATAGAACAACAAGTGGCCCTGTTTCACGGCACAGTCCTAAATTATCCTGTGTGTCTATGGGGAATATTTGAGGCTGTTATTGGATTTAAGGTTCAGAGTGCCTGGTAGACTTTGAGATAACACATTGTGGGAGTGGGAACAGCCAGGATTCAGAATTTTTAGCAGCTACAGAAGGTAATACATTTAAGTTTAATGGCTAAAACACATTTAACGTTAATGTTTCCTGTGGCTACTGGTTTCTCCTGCACACACATTGACAAATATTTAACAAACCTCCTAAGAAAACACTTCTGGTAACCTGAAAAAACACAAAGAAAGCAGCTAACAGGAACCTGAAAATCCACAGGATACCTTGTTCATCAAGCTTTTGCACTTGGTAAAATAAACATTTTTACGTTTTCTTAGATGTGAGTTTCGTATATTTTTTTTGCGAAAATGTGGGCGACTTATTACATTTTCATTGCACCATGGATTCACCAGAAAAAAAAGAATTAGGAACCATATGGAGGATATTCTCATCTTAAACAGATTAAATATGGAAACAAACATTTGTTTAAACTGAATGCACTGATGGACATATGGAATATTTGTGTTGGGTGACTGTTTTTTCTGCATAGGCATTCAGAAATAAATGAAAAAGAACAGGGTGAATAATCTACCAGTATTCTGTTTAGTTTTCTGTTTCTGTTCATGTACTGTGATTTCTTGTGGACACATAGGATATTGTCTGGTCATAAACAATATTAATATTCCCTTTGAAGGAAACTGTCTCATTCTACCATCTGTTGACTTTGTCCTTTGTGTGCAAAGATAAAAAAATGAAACAAAACTATAAAGTATATTATGAAAGGTCTATGTTTTGATCCCCTGGCTCGAGAACTCAAGCATGTTTCAAACCTGAACTACTGTCAGCTGCTTGGTCCCTAACTGAGCTGCGGTGAGCCCAAGGGTCTTTCCAGAAATGGGCCCGCGGAAGGATTTGAGGGAGAGAAAGAGAGTGCCGTAAATCACCAGCAGGAGCCTGTCTGCTCTTACTTGCAGCCTGAGATTTCAATCTGTGCGAAGGTCTGGCACGAAGCTTAGACTGGCTCTCCCACGAGAGGGCCGACATATGTGGAGAGTGGCTCCAGCAAATTCCTGCTTGTGACTAATTTGTTTTTCACACCTTCGCTCTACAGTAGGTGATACGCTGGGCAGGAACTGCAGGCCAGCAGCCCGTTCACTGGAGAACGACAAAAGCTTGAGCACACGACTGCATGCTGGGATATGACTTTGTTCCACTTGTAATTGCCATTTCGTTTATCTGGTTTCCACTTGTTATGAAAAAATATAGACTCTTTAAATCCTGTTAACTTTAACTTATAAGTGGTGGAAATTTCATCGACAGACTATCTCAGCTGAAGATTCCCCAGTGGCCAGTCACGTTTTAATGTTTGTACCAGCACCTATAGAAAAAAACTGGGCCTAACTGGACCATATTGGTTAGCAGTATCTGTGATCTCACTTTTGATGCCATGTAGCGTACTGATGCAAAACTTTATTTATTTCCGATATATATCATTAACACTCGGCCCTGTTTGTTTTATGCAAACCTACTCAACGACCTACCCAATATCTATGAGACTAGAGTGTATTAAACCTGAAATTACCCCTTTAATAACAGCAGCATGCTTTTAGCACATTGGTCTAATGCAGAGAGGAATATTTACAAGCTCTGCCCTTTTTAGCCCTGGAAGAGCCATCGACAAAGCAAAACAAGGCAGAGGCCATGAAATGGTTCAGCTGCAGTCGAGCCGGAGAGACGTGGCTGACTGACAAGCGCCGCGGTTGCACTTTCCCCGCAGACATAAACAATGACACGTATAATTTCCTGCCTGAGCTGGAATGGCACGGCCCCGTCTGCTGGGGCAGCCGAGAAGCTCGCGGCGGCCCGGGGGTGACTGCCTGGGGGCGGTGGCCCGGGGGCGGCCTGGGAGATCCTTCCGGCAGGGCAGGCCAACCCCGTGCTGTGAGCGGTGCAGGGGCATATGGCCGAAATGAGACAGTGACGACTTCCACTAGCCGCCTCCTGGTTAAATGGCACTGTGTGACTCCAGTTATCGAATAAGAAACCTTCTAGAACATTCTGCCACATTTCACAGGCTTACTGCGTTTTTCTGCCTCTCTCTAGTACAGTACAAAGCATTTATCAGGCATCGTCGGCTATGATGCAGTTATTTATTCTTGAGTTTGAGGTAAATATTATACACACTTGTCAAAACAGTAATTCAAAAAAAAAAAATAAAGATGTTGTCTTAATGGTTGATGGAGAATTTGCTCAGTGCTTTTGTTAAATGGCATAAACAGGATCTACAAAAATTTTGTTCAAATTTAGAATGGAAAATCTTGGTAAAGCATGTATTATATAACCAGTGCAGGATTCTTATAAAGCCTTTCAAGAAGAATTGTTGAGCTCCACAAATAGTGGGAATACAGAGCTTATTTCTAAGGTTGAACTGAACACGATAAATATTGTAACATGAGAGCATGACTGAAAGAACACAAGTACTTTATTTAGAGTGAAAGAATCACTTTTGGGCTTTGTACTTGAAGATCTGAAAGTTTTTGTGAATAAATACATTGTACGTTATCTTCTTTTCCAAATACATGGTCTGGGCCATTTGACCTTCCTGTGGAATTTCCTTTAGCTAATTGTATTTAACATGTTAATAAAATTCTCTTTGAAGTGTATTAGTGAAGAAGTCTTCAAGGTTCGGGAATAGTGTGGGGTGTGTTGGCCATATGTTCACTAAAAACATTGCAGCTCTCTGGCCCAAAAAGTTCTGGCCTTGAAATACCGTACTGTATGTGTACATAATTGCTAAGAAACTGCCACTGTTCTGACAATTTTGACATATTGAAGCTATTCATCAAGGTGGAAGAAGTACATCATTAGAGTGAATTGTGTTGCTTTGTCATTTTCACCCTTATATTCACTCCTGTCCCCTTTCCTGAGTCATTCTGTCTCCTCTTGTTCTCCCTATTTCCTTCACTATCTCCTGTTTCATTCTTTTCTGGCATTTTACTTCCTGCTCACTACTGTTCCCACTCCATGCTGCACAATATGCATAGAGTCATAATTGCAATACGCACAACATTAAAACATGACGTCCTAGCTGGGAATAGAACCCCTAGTCTCATGCGTTCCATTTACCAACTGCTGTAATATTAACTTAGCTTCCTCCCACATGCTAGGGTAGTAGAGGCATGTTGAGATAAGCCAGTATGAACGTTTCTAATTAACAGCAAAGAGCCTTGCTTCATGGTGGCTGGCTTCTCCCTTTTGATCTTATATGTAGTGTAAAACTAGGGAAAGTAATTATATTCTACGTTGTTTTGCATTTTCTGGATGAGGTGCTGCCCCAATTATTTCAATCTGGTTTCAGCATCTCTGGGGAATTGAACATTAGGTTCATTAATTGAATATTTTCTCCCTAATCAGAGGCCAACTGAGTTGAACTGTAATTCTGCCCTGCAATGCTGATCATGAGGTCAGCATCACCTACCACACTGAAATTTTCAATCAGCACCGAATCTCAAAACACATCTAGTCTCCAGGCCCTTGTCTTCCAAGAGGACCTCATGTCTACATGTCTACATAAACCATTCCATTTTGTAGACTAATACTGACCACACAGGCAGACTGAAGGTAATGGCTTCTCAGTAATATTTAAAATGCCTAAAAAAAATGAATAGAACCTTCTTCCAAAGGAATAATAAAAAGGTATATCTAAACTCAACATAAAAGTCATATAGATACATAAATCCCATGACATAGATGCTGCAGAAGAATAAACTTTAAGAGCTAAACACCACTAACTTTTGCCTTACACTTTGAGATTTAATGTTCTCCACTAGAAAAGTACCCTGCCTTTCCTTGAATTGGGGTATGTTCTGGTGTCTCTTGGGCTGGCCAGCTCCACACCCCTTTATGAGGGGGGAGGGGTGGGGGTGGGGAAGAGGGCGGTCTAATGAGAACTCATTAAACCAGGGGCATGGCAAAGAGGGCCTGGAATTATAAGGATCCAGATGGTCTGCATCATCGAGACTCAAGAGGAATAATTACTGCTGCTTTTTTCCTGGCTCATGGAGATCTTTGTCCAACAGGAACTGCTTGCAGAACTACTATCCATCTCAAAGGTTGACTAGTCTGCTGGGCTGGGCCATGGCTGCCTGATCTCAAATATACTCCCATCAGTGATTTTCATATACCCATTGTTCTATAATACCTGATAGAGATGACCTGTTTGTACAATTCACTATGTTGCATGGAGGAATTCCAGAACTCTGGAAGAGGACTTTCACAAAAAACGTCCCAAACTGGGATTCAAAACTCAGCTTGAGTACTTCATGCAGTCAGAATGTCCTTATGTACTTATGTCTGCTCCTACTATGTACTCCATAGCCCCCCCTAATGGTTTTGTAGGATGTATATATATTTATTTTTATATGGGATCTCATTAACCTGAGCAACACTGGACTGACCAGATTAACAACCAGTGGAACTAGTCTTTCGCTCTCAAAGCTGTTAGTGCTTCAGATCAGTGTTTCCCAGTCCAGTCCTTGGGGATCCACAGACAGTCCATGTTTATGCTCCCTCCCAGCTCCCAGTAAAAATGTCTGATGGGCAGCTTGGAGGGAGCAAAAACATGGACTGGCTGTATGTTCCCAAGGACTGGACTGGAAAACGCTGCTTTAGATCTGCACTGCGTGAGTTTGTAAAAGCTGCTCCTGATTCTTCCCAAGGTCCTCCCCGCGTGTCGGAGCAGGTGGCCCACCGGCAGACGGTGAGGATCGGCCGCACCATGAAGCTGCCGTGCCCTGTGGAAGGGGACCCCCCTCCCCTCATAATGTGGACAAAAGATGGCCGCAACATCCACAGTGGCTGGACGCGCTTCCGCGTGCTGCGCCAGGGCCTGAAGATCAAAGAGGTGGAGGCCGAGGATGCGGGGACCTTCGTCTGTAAGGCCACCAACGGCTTTGGCAGCGTCAACATCAACTACACGCTCATCGTCATTGGTGAGTCCCCCCCTTTGCTGGGGGGCAGGGCCGCCTTTCTGGTTTTCCATGGCTGAGCATGGAGTTCCTTTCAATAACATGGCATTGATGTAGCAGTGCTGGTCCTGTTCTCCTCTGAGCTGGAGTAGGTCTTCCTGCACATGTGCAAGTCAAAGCCTAATAACAGCTTAGGCCGCAAACAGAGCCAAAGCAAATGGCTTTGTTTAGTCTGGCCCTTAAGTGCACTTCTCAGGTGTTTGTAACTTTTACTGTGGTACCCTTTCTGCCATCCATTCACAGGTAGACCAATTTTGATTTCTACACATGCTAAGTTTAACCCGTGATTATGAACAAAATCGGTACAACTTTATAATAAAACTCCCTTTTGCCACTTATAAATGGTAGTGACACATTAATAAAACCTTGTTGGTAAGCTTGTTGGTAATAAAAGCTTGTTTGTAAACAAGTCATCATTATGCATTATAGATACCTTCATAATTCATTATAATGCATTCATAAAGTACTATAAACACAGCTATAAGTATTTATAAAAAGGCATAACACGTTATAACCATGTTTATTTTGCATTATGAATACTCTATGAAGCTCTTATCTATAATGCACAATAGATACCTTTATCTGCATTGTAACACTGCATTATAATGGTTGGTATAAGAATTAAGGATGCTTTGTACTGCATTATGAAGGTACACTATATTGCCAAAAGTGTTGGGACACCTTCCTTTACACACACGTAAACTTTAATGACATCCCATTCTTAATACATAGGTTTTAATATGGAGTCGGCTCACCTTTGCAGCTACAACAGCTTCAACTCTTCTGGGAAGGCTGTCCACAAAGTTTAGGAGTGTGTTTATGGGAATTTTTGAAAATTGTTCCAGGAGAGTATTTGTGAGGTCAGGCACTGATGTTGGATGAGAAGGCCTGGCTCACAGTCTCCACTCTCATCCCAAAGGTGTTCTATTGGGTTGAGGTCAGGGCTCTGTGCAGGCCAGTCAAGTTCCTCCACACCAGACTCACTCATCCATGTCCTTATGGACCTTGCTTTGTGTGCTGGTGTGCAGTCATGTTGGAACAGGAAGGGGCCATCCCCAAACCGTTCCCAACCATTCCCAAAGTCGGGAGCATGAAATTGTCTAAAATGGCTTTGAATGCTGCAGTAACTACAGTTTTTAAATCTGAGTAAAGAGTCCTATATATTTGCTGTAGAGACAGATGGACATTGGGGAATCTTTGCCACTGTGCATGTTCTAGGATCACACACTACTCCAGCATTTGCAACAGTGCTGTTATGTAGTAATGTTTTGTATGTTCTGGAAAAGTTACACAAGCTCCATCTTTCTGATATGGTAATATTTGTATGCTGTCATCTGCCACACGCTCTTCATTTAGATCTTTGTACTGTTTCACCTTCCATGACCAGTTTTTTGGAGGTTCCTTCATTAGTCAGAACCATTCCATCCATTTTGACTTTTCATTTGAGGTTAACTCATGAGAGAATTGGAGAAAAGAGCAGGATGATTCAGTGTAGCTGCAATCAAAGTAGGAGCTTTTATGGTCACGCTGGGCCGGCTGTCTCAGTTCTGGGTTACGAAGCAAAAGAATGACTAATGGCAGGAGCTGAAGCTGGGGTGAGGAGCGGAGTCTTTAGGGGATCTCCTCATCCTTTAATCTTCCATCGGTGCTTCCAAGGTCAACAACCACCAGGCATTCAGTTTCATCCTTTATGATCCGGTGGCAACCTGGGCCAAGGTGACGGACATCCGCCAAGGATGAGATACTGCCATGCTCTAATAAGACATTGCTGTGTTTATTTTGGGCTGCTTGTGGGGTTCTCCATAGAACACTGGGATCAGGATGTATCAGCATGAAGCTCAAATCCATAACTGGACATGGTTCCACTGGAAATCCAGCTGTGTAAATACGCCTTGGAAAGCATGTGAATTCAAATTATTTGTAGCTTAGCTTGGATATCAGAGCCGGCATCCCTATTGCATCACAGAGATGCCCTCAAAACATTACTGCGAAACAGAGAACCGACGTGAACAGAGAATAGGCTTCTCAAGATGGATTGGTAATAATATTGAGGTTATTGGTGCATTTTAAATAACCTGTCATGCGGCGGCGTGTCTCACGATAGTCTTTACGGTGCCGTGCTTGTACACTAAGGGAGAGGGGGACAGGGAAACTGCCCTAGCGCTGGCGGGAGTTCCTGATTGTCTCATTTACCATGGTTCTCCAGGGTCTGGAATGGCCTGAGGCCACCTAGGATGGAGCACCAGTCCTTCGGTTCTGTAATTTGAGCAGTATGCGTAGTAATCGCTGCAGAACAGAGTAACTCATTAAGAGGAAAAAAAAATGCATCAGTTCCTGCATCAGTAAAATTGAATCCGGAGGCCGTTTAAATATTACAGATGGATTAGCCTGGATAAATGTAAAAATATTCACTAAGGATCTTATCTCCTGCAGAATTACTTCAAGCTTCAGCCTTTGCATTCAGAGGTGCCTTTCTATGTGGCACAGTTGTACTGATCCGTTGTTTTTACTTTATATTAGCTTTGAAAGACCTGGTCATTCTCACCCACAGACCTGCCGTTGAATGGACGTTTCTTGTATATTGCACCAGTCTCTATAAGGTTCCAGGAGGGTGCAGCTTCAGGCTCCCCCATGACTGTAGTGCATGAATGGTTAGACTGGTGTATGATCAGTAAAAAAAATGGAAAGACACTCTTCATAGAGGTAACATAAGAATGAAGAATTTTCCGTGCAATTTAACAAATTTAAATGAGCAGGATCGATTCGTAACTTTCTTCGTAAGTGGACCTGTGTGCTTCATTTTAGTCATTTCCCGCAAGTCTGAAAGTGAACTGGCGCAGTTGTCAGGCCAGTTGCAGCTCTCACTCTCCTCAAATGGGTAAACGTGAGCCAGGACGTTTCTGCGAGTACGGGAGAGAAGCCTTTGGGGACACGGCGGGGTCACTCCGGAGCCAGTCTGGGGACGGACGGAGTGAATCTGTCATCTCTTCAGCTAAGTGGGAAACCCGGATGAACCGTGAGCAGCCACACAGCGCCGGCTTGTTTGAATCGTGGCGCATTCAAAGTGATATGTTTAATAGGACTTCTCAAAATCCAGTTACTAACAACAAAGGGTAAAATCAACAGTAGCACTGGGAACTCTGCTTGGTTTGGAATCGCGCCAGACTGCCTATTAGGGTTCAATTCATCTTTTGTCAACAAAGGGTGGTTTCAGTCTGGTTCCAAAGAGCAGTCTGGTTACCATATTGACGTAAGACTGGCGACGAGGAAGCAAGGTGGGGTGCCCCGTAACGCTGAGGCCAAGCCCAGGCCAGCGTCCAAGCCCGGCAGAGGGTAAGGGGAGTCCCTGTGTGGAACGCTGCTGTGCCAAACACAGATTAGCTTGGCTAAGTTGATGTCTTTCACCTCGCTCCCAGATACTGCTGTCAGCTCTGATGGCGAGGACAAAGCGGCGTAACTGAGGCGCGGAGAGGCCGGCCCTGCCATGAATGGACACTTTGTGTAACACCACTGGTCTCTTTCAGCTCTGGCCGGGCTCTGGTATTCAGGGTCTGGAGGCCTGTGACGGCTTTCATGATCTGTTGCCATTTCCACAGTTTTTACCGACTGTAGTGAGGGAAACATCATTTATTGGAAGTCAAGTCTGAATTCGAGTCAGAAGAAGGTTACAGTCTGCAAGCCAATGTGAAATTTCCACAGGTGCGATTATCTAAATTCCAGTGTCAATACCAGATTTAACAATAATTATTATATCAAATAGCTGAATATTTTCATGAACTTTTTTTTTCTTTGAGGGTAGAAATAAGTTTTTCTGTAGCAGAGTGTGTAAAAATTTACCGAAGGTGGGTTTAATTTTTTTTTAGTCTGGAAATTGACATGAAATTCCAAAGGCTGTTTCTGTACTTAGCTAACTTAGTAATGAATCCTGTAAATGTTTCGCCGTCAGTCTGATGGAATTCCCAAAGAGCTGCTTCATCTCTGCTCCTCCAGCAGTTCCATTGCTTGACTGAGGAAGAACAGGTTGAAGTTAGGGGACGATCCCAGTACACAGGATAGTATAAGGAAAGCATGATTAGCTCAAAAAGGGGGGAGAAGCCATCTCATGATTAAGGAGGCATTTGCCATCTTTTGTGATTTACCTCCAGTCCACATAAACCCAGAGTCACCTGATTATCCTGAGCCTTGGAGCCAGGTAACTGTAGGCCTGAACCTTTCCTACCAGCAGCTGCTGCATGTCTGGGGCTATAAGGGGGCTGCAGCACCAGCATGACCTTCTGGGGGAGCCAGGTCTGGGTTGCTGCTAGATATATTTACTGTGGTATTTGTTATACTGTAGTACTGAGCCTCTTAAGGCAAGCGGTACAGGCCACTGGCATATGCTTGTTAAGGGAAGCATTTCAGAATGCCAAGCCAGATACTGGGCCTCAGATTCTACACATTGTAAAAAAATGTGATTTTTCTATCTGGCAAGTCCCAAGCAAAGGGATTAATGTCATTTTTTTTGTGAATTTCCTTCTGGCCCAGTAATATTTTGATATGTCCATATGTGGTTCATATAGTGAGAGGTACATAGCGGGTAGAGTCAGACGTGTCAGTTCTGTACAGGGGAAACGTTGACACCTTTTCCCCATTAAAGGCACCCCACACCCGCCATTGCTCCATCTCAGCCCACAGTTAGTTTGGGTAAATATTTTCGCAGTTTCACTTTTCCTCTCTATTATATCTGAGCAAACAAAAGGTCTACTGTGATGTGAGCGATGCCACAGAAGCGGGTCTGATGTGACAACACCTGGTCACAATTTGGGGGAAATGAAAAAGATTTCTCGGCCTTTTTCCCACCATCACATGTAGAGATGGGGAGTAAGAACTTAAAAATGTCTAATGGAGTCAAAAATGGCCTGCTTTTGGACTAACGGTTTAGTGCTGGTCTTCAGTCAGTCTGTGTTTCATCTATGTTTGAATTT